AGAATTCTTGAGATTTTAGGTACTGCCCGGAATTAGATAAGAAGAGGTGGTGAAAGCTATTGGCAAGATAATGGAGGGGGGTGGGGTGGAGTGGGGGTAGAGCTTTGGGATCAGATGAGACCCTAGGGGAGTTCTAGAAGATTGTTGGCAAAGATGATGGGTTGGTGAGGATCACCAAGTTGTTTAATGTTATTTTCAAGACGACTAAGGGCTTGTTCTCTTCAACTTATTCAATTTACTTATTACTTATTCTTATTGGGATGAGATCACATCACTAGATTAGAAACAACTTTAAATATAATTAGTTATAGAGATCTTGATAAAATTAGATCAGACCAGTCAAAGAGAACATGCTCTAAGATGCCTGAAGAGTGGATGGAGAGTGTGGTGATCCCATTGTATAAAGATAAGGGTGATATCCATAACTGCACTAGTTTTAGAGGCATCAAATTATTTAAGACATACCATGAAGGTCTAGGAAAGAGTAGTGGAGGCAAGGTTGTGAAAGGGGTGAGCATTTCCAAAAATTAATTTGGTGGTTTCATGCCCGGTGGGTCAACCGCAAAGGATATTCACCCCTTTAGGAGGCTGATGGAGCATTATAGGGAGAGGAAGAGGGTCCTACACATGGTGTTTATTGACTTAGAGAAGCCGTATGATAATGTTTTAGAGAGATCATATGGAGGTGCTTAGAGCACATAGGGTTGTTGGTTGCTTACATGTGAGCTCTTAAGGACAATGTATGATGGGGCAAGGACCAGGGTGAGGTCATTTGGAGGTGGGAATGGTGTCTATGAAGGATAAACTGCGAGAAGCAACATTTAGATGATTTATGAGTGTGAGAGGCTTATAGTAAGGGACATTAGGAGTGGAGGACGACTTTAGAAGAGTTGGAAAGAGGTGATTAAACATGACTTATGATTCAAGGAGCTTACTGAGAATATGAACTTAGATAGGATTAGGGTGACATGATAGGCTTTTGGTTAGTGATTTTCCCTTGTGTAGGACATAGGACCTGATTCCTTAGTTTGTTGCTTCTGCATGCATGTCTGCTTTTATGCACCTTTCGTCACCTTTCTTTTTTCCGTTTTTGGCTTTTTAGTGTTCCTTTTGTTTTGAGTTGGGGGTCTTTTGGAAACCTCTCTACTTTTCTAGTTGGGGAACAGTTTGTGCACACTCACCCTCCCTAGATCCCATGATTTGGGATTTTTTCACGGAGTCTGTAGTTACTTTCTGAATATTATCTAAGCTAAACTCCCCCTTTTCCCTTCCTGGGTGCCTAAAAGTGAATTATAACCATTACTTGTATTTTACTATTTTTGCAAAGGCCTATAAATAAGGTTAGATATTAAGCCATATCTGTAAGTTGTTTTGTTGCAATGATGCTTTTGATATCATTGTCTGAGATATCATGTATTTCACCAAGTAACTTTGATCTTCCACAAGAAATTAATTATTATTAAAATGGGTTTTCTTATTATCTTACAGCTCCAACAAGTCATGGATTCGTTCATTATATATGTTGCTCAACACATTTCGACAAACTCATCACTCTTACAATGGGGCTCTTCTGGTACACATTTTCCTGCATCAATACCTTGGACTCAGTTTAGTCCTTCAAATATAAGAACTGTTCCATTTCCAACTCGTGAATATACTGATGACGAGTTCCAATCCATAGTCAAGAAAGTTATGGGAATCATGTATGCATTTTTTTCTTGTCTTTCTCTGGAACTGTGATTACAGTTCTCACTTCTCTATGTCCACACCATTTTTTCATCGTTGTTGTTGATGTTGTTTAGCTTGACCTTTATCATTTAGAATGTATCCAGTTACATATTAGCATGCAATCTATAGGTACTTGCTGGGATTTCTCTACCCAATCTCCCGCCTCATAAGTTATTCCGTCATAGAAAAGGTAAACATGTATAACTGTTTCCTTGCTCCATCTCTATCTTTATTTTTCTAGTTTTAAAAATGAAGGGAAATTGGTGGCATGAAAATTTCATTAGCTGCTATGATATGTTTAGGAGCTGAAGATTAAAGAAGGCCTATTCATGATGGGGCTCAAAGATGAGATATTCCATCTCTCTTGGTTTTTGACATATGCATTGCAGGTGATGTTTCATTCTGTTAATTACATCCTCTCCCTATATCTCACCCAATTGTACTTCTTGCCATTCTTCCCAAATAAACAAAATAGAAAGGTAATTGTAATGGAAAAAATTTGAAAAATAGAAAGTAAGACTAGTAGGAAAATTTGAATCCACATCCACACCATCCACTTTTGCATGATTGTTTATGAGTGATACACTGGTGCATAGTGTTTGTTTCTTTCTAGAGAACTTCAGAACATGTTTAACTTCTGTAGAGTTTTAAATACCCATCAATTTTGTTATCCCCGTCGGTCTGATCTAGCTTCTGGATTTATTATCTTTGCAAGTATTGTAGCTGTTGATGTTTTGCTGGTGCATCCTTTTTGCTGCTTTCTTTTCCTATATGTTGCTTTATAAGAATGAGTATGCCCGTATCTCTAATTTAGATGCTTTCTTTCCTTTGATAGTTTGCAGTTTCTTCTATGACCATTACTCTCTGCACTATGAGTACCCTCTTCCAATACAGTGACAAATCACTGGTGTTTGCCTACTTCTTTGCTTTTGGACTCAGTGCAATAACACTGTCCTTTCTGATCTCTACATTTTTCACACGGGCAAAAACTGCAGTAGCTGTGGGGACACTTGCTTTCCTTGGGGCATTTTTCCCTTATTACACCATCAATGATGAGACTATTTCCATGTCAGTCCTTTTACTATGGCAACACCAAAACATTCTCTACTTGGAAAAGATTGGGGCATTTCCCCTTATTTCACTGTCAATAATCGACCTGCATTTTGTACTTGTAGGGTATTAAAACTGATGGCTTCATTCCTTTCACCCACAGCATTTGCCTTGGGCTCTATCAACTTTGCAGACTATGAGCGCGCTCATGTTGGACTCAGATGGAGTAACATTTGGCGGGTATTCTCTTTTCTCATGCTACGGTCTTGTTCTTATATATGTATACATACATACATAAATACATACATGCACACATGATACACGCGCACACACACACATGTATATATATAGTTTTGAAGTGTGTACTTTTATCATCAATGCAGGAGTCCTCAGGAGTTTGTTTTTTGCTCTGCCTCTTGATGATGTTAGTTGATACAGTACTTTATGCTGCTATTGGCATCTATCTAGATAAGGTATATTTTCTAGACTATATCTTCTTTGTCAATTTGTCATGTAAGTTTTTTTTATAAAAAAGAAGGCACAGCTGCCGTGTATGGTTACTTTTTCTTTAAAAAGAAATTCATGAGACAAACTCAATCTTAAGCTGACAATTCTTTATCAGTGTAGCAATGTTTAAATAAGAAGCCAAAACAGGAAGCTATGCAAAGGTTGTTTTGTAAGAGTAGGGGAGATGATATAGTACTGACTATTTAAAAAAAATATAAGGTAGTGTTTGGGAACTAGATATATACAAGCAGGCAGTTTGCTTCAAAAAACCCTAAGCTAGTTCAGTTAAGTTGAAAATAAATACATCTGTGTTGTCTCAATGGTTTTAGCAAGATAAAAGCATATGAGTTTATATGTGTGACAGTGTGTGAGTTTGTGTGCATGTGATCAGGTTCTTAGTAGGGAGAGTGGATGGCACTTCTCATGGAACTCTACATTCTGGAATTCATTTCAGAGGACAGGAAATAGCAGAGAGCATGATGCTTCGACCCCAGAAGTCAGTTTAACTTACAACTCTGATAAGGAAAGCTCAAATCTACATAGAGAAGAGATATATAAACCAGCCATGGAACCTATCAGTTTGGAAATGAAACAACGCGAAATGGATGGAAGGTAATTTGACATGTTGTCTCTAACTGAGATTTGTCTACTTGGTTGATGTGCGCTTCCCAAGCATTAAGTTGTACAATTATACTTATCTTACATGATTCTGCAGATGTGTAAAGATCAGGAATTTGCAGAAGGTGTATAGTACTGATAGGGGAAAATGTTCTGCTGTTAAGTCCTTACAACTGACCTTATATGAGAATCAGATTCTTGCTCTTCTAGGTAGCTATTTTCAATATACTCCTTGAGTGTCGAGATAATGGCCCTTGAGTGTATAAATAGTTTTTCATCATCATTATCAACTTTTTTGTTTGTTGAAATGATACTCTGTTTTATACTCCGTTATTGGATACAGTATTGGCTATATGTTTTGAGTTATCTAGTTGCATCCTCATCACTTTTTTTGTTCCCCTATTTTACTATTGAAGGACACAATGGAGCTGGTAAAAGCACAACACTATCAATGCTTGTCGGTCTTCTTCCTCCTACCTCTGGGGATGCTTTGGTTTTTGGAAAAAACATTTTAACTGACATGGTAGTACATTTACATTTATTTCTTTATATATTTATTATGTTAGTAACTTAGTATGATAGAAGCTTGACAGAAGTGTTTATTACAAGTTGTTGGTTTTGCAGGACGAGATACGGAAGAGCTTGGGTGTTTGTCCTCAATATGACATTCTTTTTCCAGAATTAACTGTACGAAAAGTTCTGTTTGATTGCTCTAGGTTACTTTTCACTTGACCCCCATCCTCTTCTTGTTGGCTTTATGCTGACCCTGCTATCCTCGTGGATCATTTATTATTGGCAGTCCTGTATCTAGATATGCTATCTGGAACTGTTTCCGTAATATGCATTCCCTAATTCTTCCTATAACGTGAAAAGAAAATTAATGGAGGAAAAAATAAGTTAATGCAGTAACATGCTTCTTGAAAATTGCCAAATGCTAGTATTCTTTATTCTTTCTATGAATTGCCACGAAAAGCGTCATGAAGTTGTCGTATTATTGGATCTTTTTCATCTCAAATCAGGAGTAGTTGGAGCCTGGCACATTATTTGCATTACTCACTCATGCTTAGAAGACAAAAGCTGAAAATTGAAATATGTTTTAATTGGTACAACTGAAACCGACCAATACCAATACAATGGATCTTTGTGGTCCTCTTCTAGTAGCTTCACAAGTTTTTGCTGTAAAGTGTTTCATGTTATTCTCATATGGACATACAAATATTGAAAATCTCTAAAACAGGCCTTTTTGGATGCCAGCAACATCTTTGCTAATTGTTACTGTAACCACTTATAATCCATCACCTCTATTCTTTCTGTCTTGTGACATAAAGTTAGTCCATTTATGTAAGTTTATCTTTTATTTATTTATATATTCGTGTTGTTCCTTTCTTGCTTATGATATTAATACCCAAAGCCATGCTTTGCCGATTGTTCTGTCCAGGTGAAGGAACATCTGGAAATTTTTGCTAATGTAAAGGGAGTGAGTGAAGACACGATCGATAATCTTGTAACAGAAATGGTGGATGAAGTAAGTTACTCAATTCATATTATGTGACATCACATTTTTTCTTTGAGTCAAGTTGTGTTCTCAATTCTTGTTTGGGAAGGCAACTTGGTAAAGATATATCTCAGTTGAATGCACTTTGGATTTTGATTAAATTGGTACTTGAACTTCTTTTGACATTTTTATAGCTTTGTGCTAATGAGTAACCTGAATTGGGACTAGCATACTAGGTCAACAATGTCACATTACCAAAATCTAGAAAATGTTTGCTCCTTGAACATGATTCATCTAATGTATAGGAGTTGAATCTAAGAGGGAATTATGTCTGTCAAACCTAATCAAACAGCAGCTGGATTTTGTCTTGTAATACTTTTAGAGGCATGTTAGTTAATCTGATCATCTATATTTTACCTTTAGTTCACACTCTCACACAATATATGAAAAAAGTAAAATATATATTCACTCACGTTCACATAGAGTGAGTTTCTTGAACTACTCCCATGTGTCTCCTCTTTGACTTTTCATTTCCAGAGAACTGATACGCATGAGGGAAGACATGAATAAACTCATTAGTCCTCACAACCTCCTCTATAGCTCTTAAAGTTTTACACTTTTATTTTATCCTATTTCGTAGCTTTGGTTGGAATTTTTTAGGTGTAACTGTTTTCTGATTTCAAATGTTTAAAATTTAGTCTTTACACATTTTGATTTTTTACAAGCTTTGGACTGCTTACACACTAAACTTTCTAACGTTGGATTAGTCGTGACGAGGAGAGTTATACACACACAAAACAAAAAGTGTGTGTGAATTTATTCAAATTTATATTAGAGGACCTCAAAAACATTGTTGTTCAAGATGTCAGAAAGCTAATATGTTTGTGCTGACATATCTAGTAACAATGTGTCTGGATGTGATCTTTCATTGGATGAGATGATAATCAATTTCTAAATGTGTTTGGCCTGCTTGTGGTATACTAGATTTGATGCAATGTGTGTTGCCGCAAGTAAACCTCAATATGCATATTCACATGAAGGAAAACATTATTGGCATCTAACTGGAATAGACACAAGGTTTAATGGACTATTGGTGTGTGTACTTTCTTTGCTCGGTGCTTTTTGTCTCTTTGCACTTTTCTTTACCCTTAGTTAGTTCTTTACTTATTGTGTTCGTGCTTTGTGTGCCTTCTGTGTTGCTCGAGCCGAGGTCTTTTGGAAACAGTCTCTAGTTTCGAGTAGAGATAAGGTCTGTGTCCACACACACTCTCGAGACCATTCTTTTGTGGGATTCTATTAGGTTGTTGTTGTTGTTATGGATGACTGTTGATAGGAGTAATTAAAGGTAAATGTTGAGGTTTTGACAAAAGGTATGATTGGAAGCATCTTAATCAAACAGGTTTAATGTGTTCGAAACACAGGACATAGACATATGTGAGAGAATAATGCCTTAACTTTTGGTTCCTCATATTCAGTTGGTGACATCACAATTGGATCCGGTAAAATTTAACAATGTTGACTGAGAGTTGAGGTCTCCCATGCAGCTCATAACACTATTGTTTAGAGAGACCAATTTTATTTCAGAAGTTACACTTTGGATGATTTGGCCATTTGGGCGTGAGTTTTCAAAAGAAGAGAAGCTGAAGGACATTAGAGTTGTCGGATGGAGGCCGAATGATCATGAAAGAATGTCTGAAACAAATGTCAAAGGCGGCGGCTTCTTGCGGTTGAGGCAGCATATTGGGTCCGAAAATGCACTGCCAGAATTACCAGGAGGATAGGAAGGGAAATGTGATGGCAGTGTCGTCATCAGATCTTCAGATCAGATATTTGTAAGTCTGAGAAAAAAATAAGACTAATTTTGCTTGCTACGAGCAGCTCATGAAGGGGAAGCCAGTAGTAAGGTTTCTGACGGTTAATTTGTGAAGAGGTGAGGGATGAAATGGTGTGTTATGAATGGATAAAGCTCTATCACAAGATTATGCTCATCAGAAAAGCCAACTGTTAGACTCTTCACACCAAAAAATAGTTGGCTCTCATTATGTGTGAAAGCCAAGGAGAATTTCTCCTTAGTCTTAGTCTTCTTCTAAGTCATCATTTCGTTATTACAAAGATGACATCTTAGGAGTGTTACCATGCTTCTAGGTAACATTTATCTTCTTTACATCTCAAGAAGCTATATCCTACCTTACTCCACACATGTAAAGGGGTTTATTTTGTTGGCATGAGGATCAGTTTTGTTAAAGGTTTATGCATAGTTTTGTCATTGGTTTATTTTGATTTTTTACGAACTACTTTTCATGTATCTTCAGGTTGGCTTAGCAGACAAACTTAATACTGTAGTAAGAGCTCTTTCTGGAGGAATGAAAAGGAAGCTATCACTTGGGATAGCACTATTAGGAAACAGTAAAGTGAGTGCAGGATAAAAATTGAGTTATGATATTTATGTATATCTGTTCGCGAATTCGCTTCACAATATGATGTTTCTTTTTTAGATAGTTGTTCTTGATGAACCAACCAGCGGGATGGATCCTTATTCCATGCGATTGACCTGGCAGCTGATAAAAAGGAAAAAGAAAGGAAGAATAATCTTACTAACTACTCATTCCATGGATGAAGCTGATGTCTTAGGGGATAGGATAGCTATAATGGCCAATGGTTCTTTGAAATGTTGTGGAAGGTGTTTCCACTTT